TGAATTCAAGTCAGTGGGGAAAAAAATCAATTTAGGAGAAATAATTCAAGTAGGTTCTATTCCTTTTTGACTGTTGTTCTACATTGTTTAGATAATCATCATTTCTAAAACCCGAGTTTGCTATAGCCTATCAAGTTTAAAGGAAAGGATATTTAATTCAAAACACTTATTTTCTCAACTGTAAGAAAATGAAAAAAAAAATGAGCTCTATAAATGTTTGTCATGCTTAATACAAATTTTCCATTGGTCTGAGAGATGACACTGTCCTTTCTTAGCACAAAATAGAAATTAGGGTAGAATTGGGACCACAAAGAATAGGGCAAGATAATCAAACTTGGGAGGAAAAATAACTATCTCTTACAGTTTAAATCTTCATAATTCTGTTATCAGTACCACACTCTACCAGAAACTAGGCCCCCTAGTGGACTAAAAGTGTTAACAGCTGAGTCCCACATCAGTGATTTGAACACTGGGATGTAGTTGAATTATAAGAATGATTTTTAAAGATCTTATTCAATCACTGACAGAACACTTCTTATAGTCGCTAATATAAGCATATTCATAACTATGAATTCACCTAATCAGCACAACCCCTGAAGGAATGGGGGTACTAATACCCAAATATTACAGACTAATAAGCAGGTGTCAAGAGGTTAGATAACTTGCCCAAGGTCATGCCACTGGTCAGGGACATAGCTGGGATTTAAAGGTAGCCTGGTAAATTCAGTTTGTCAGAATATTAATCCCAGAAAGACTTTATTCAAATAGCTAGCAATGATCCACTTCTCCAGAGGTTGGCCTTGGGGTAATTTTAATCCTCCAGAATATAGCTGGCATCTGTTGATGTATTTTATTAAAATAAAAAACGACAAAGAAAAGGAAGAAATGGGCTGTTGAGTAACCAAAGCCGTCAAAGTTATCCAGTTTCCCCCTCTCTGAAAGCCTATCTCCTGGATCGGTACACATCTCAACAAGCTTAATCACTTGTCCAGACCTGGGCAGTCCAGACCTGCCCAGAGACTTCTAAGGTAAAAGAAACAAAGAGCAAGAAGAAATAGAAGTAAACACTGACAGTCACTGAGAAGCAGGCATCAAAAAATTTCTAAGACTAGACATAAACTCTAGAAGTAGCCTAGGGCCTACTCTAAGTAGAAATGAAGGCCTGATAAAATGCCCCAAACATCTCTGAGCATCTCAGAACAGTGAGGGAGAAGACTTCCCTGGGGTCACAGGCCTGTGTCTGCTCACATGGACTCACATGCCAGGCTATGTTCACCACCGTGTAATAGTCACCAAAACTATCTCTCAAAGTAGCGTACAACAAGAGCCGCCTGAGCCACGCTCAGATTAACCGGGGTGCACAGAAGCCTTCCTCTGCACAACTGTGCTGACCCTACACTCACACCAATGGTATGTATATCGGTGTGCGTTCAACAGCCTACACGGATGATTCTTTTTTAAAAAATAGTTCTGTGACATTCTTGTGTGTTCTACAGCTTTGAAAGAATGCTGCTTTTTTAGGTCAGGTGCCCGCCCCTGTGTCCTCTCAACAGAAACAAGGTTGTCCATTGAGACAACCCTGTTGGATCTCTGTATCAAGAACACATAAATTTCTCTTCGGCAGTGGATTCAGGGCAGCAAGCATGCTGGTCACCTGCTAGGGCAGGAATGTCGAGGCTCATTCCAGGCTCCATTTTGTGTCTTCATCCTTTCCCCACCTTCTCTATCTTCCTTTAGTTTACTTTCTTTCACTTATTCTATCTTGTATTTCAACCTTCCTTGACTGCCACCTTAAATCCCTTCTGGAATAAGGTTAAGAGTAAATGCCATCAATAAGGGAGTGAATGACTGTAAAAGAGTTAGGGAAACAGTTCAGAGATCATCTGAAATGTAACCAATTCCTAACAGGCTACGACTACGCCTCCCGACTTCAACTCTGTGACCTTTCAATACTTGTATTAATAATAGTGATTCTCAGCCATTAAAACCCTTTAGTTATATTTAAAATATTCTGGATCTTTTTTTTTTTTTTTGGAGACAGAGTCTCAAGCTTTTGCCCTGGGTAGAGTGCTGTGACATCATAGCTCATGGCAACCTCCAAATCTTGGGCTCAAGTGATCCTCTTGCCTCAGTTTTTCTATTTTTAGTAGAGACAGGGTCTTGCTTTTAGCTTATGCTGGTCTCAAACTTATGAGCTCAAGCAAATCCACCTACTGTGGCCTCCTAGAGTGCTGGGATTACAGGTGTGAGCCACCACACCTGGTCTAAAGTATGTTTTTAAGAGAATAAAGAAATATATATGAATATATAGGATAAATGAGACTTTCTTGAATTAAAAAAAAAACAAGAGGCTCGGCGCCTGTGGCTCAACCGGCTGGGGCGCCAGCCACGTGCACCTAAGGTGGCGGGTTCGAATCCCCAGCCCGGACCCGCCAAACAAC